GCAACTATGCTGACCATTACACCACCATCGCACTTATAAATTATATCAAACCGTTTGCCGAAGAACGTCTTGAATCTATGCGAAATTCAAGCATTTTCTTCTAAATATAATGAATAGTAATAACAGTTTTATCAAGTGAATATCAATTTTACAATAATATCATTAAAGTTTTATTAGTGTATTATTATTAATTTTCGAAATATTTATAAAAATTGTAGACTGTAGCCTGAAATTTAAAAGTTTTGATAGTTACTCCTAACTACACATAAAAATTCTATTTCAATAAAAGTCATAGATATGTTACTATACTAATTTGATGCGCTATCATCTTAGCTTTAATTAAAATATTGAAACTTGAGTATACTATGATTAGTTTTCCAGAAATATACAATTAACTAGAGACACTTTTTTTCGCATGTTCAAAGTACAAATTTGATATCGAATTACTTGAGAGCTAAAACTGTCACAAAAATCCTTTTATAATCGTTTTATTCACTGTAGTTTTAGCTTTAATTGGAGTATTTTGAAGTTATTGTACTGTTATTAGTTTTCGAAATATTGAAATAAAACTGAAGACATTGCATTAACGATGCAATTCTATTTCAATAAAACGTCATAGATATGCTAGTATACTAACTTCCAAGCAGTTGATCCGGGTTCGATTCCCGGCCATCGCATATATCTTTTGCTATTTATAATTAAAGAAAATTAATTAAAACAATTAATTACCTTTATAATATAGTTATTACCTAATTGCAGGTAATTGCAGGTATATTTTAATTAATTACCTTGGTTTAGAAATTAGACAACAAACTTATGGTTTTATTTAAATAAATTTAATAGTATTTATATTAATAAAGAAATATTATTATATAATTCATGAGAAGCTTTTGGAAACAATAAAGTTGAAGTTTTAAGAATGAAAAAAATGGTATTTTCTTGATGATGGAAGTGGTAAATTTCTTATTATGAACTTGAAATTAGTCACTTTTTGTAATTAATTGATTTTTACGTGTTAATTTGCGTTAAATATGAAGAAATTATTAATAATGAAAAATTCAAAATTTTGAAATTCTTGTTGTGGCTGCATTGAACATAACACGCTTTAAGAGGTTGGTAAGCTTGCCGCATAAAAACGCTCTGAAATCGAAAGCAAGCGTCCGGCTTTAACCTCAAACAGTTTTTGATTTGATGCAGTGTGTTTTTCCTTAGTGGAAATTCATCTAAGTTTAACGTTTTGATTTCGTATTGATAAATTACGATCGACGATGGCGTTCAAGCCGCAGAAAGTGCAGAAGGTGATGGTGCAACCCATCAACCTGATCTTCAGATACCTGCAGAACAGGTCCAGGGTGCAAGTGTGGCTGTACGAGAACATCAATCTGAGAATTGAGGGTCACATTGTCGGTTTCGATGAGTACATGAACCTGGTGCTCGATGATGCAGAGGAGTACTATGTCAAGACCAAGACCCGCAGGCAGCTCGGCAGGATCATGCTCAAGGGAGATAACATCACACTCATTCAAAATGTTAACCCTTCGGCTGTGCCAAATCCATAATCAGTTAAATACCATTTTTGTAATTTATATAAGGACATAAGTTTAATTTCTAAGAATAAATTCAGTAAACTTTTTTTTTTAATATCGAGTTTTATTTACGTCTACTTATTCCATGAAAATATTTATGAAAACTGAATTGAAAGTTTTAGATTCAATGATGTAATAAAGGAAGTAGTGTTCTTGTATTATATTGTACTTGTGTTTTTGATTGATTGTTTGTTTGTTATTTTTTTTTTAAGGAGGAAAAGCCTCGATGAGTTTTGTGGAAAGATGCGTGAGTTACATTGGTGAGAATGCGGCCGAATGCGTGAAAACTAATTCGTTCTTGGCGTTGAAAAAGGAGGCTGTGATTAAGCTCATTTCCTCTGATTATGTGAGTGTTTTGTTATTTTTGAGAAATACTTGGAATTGTAATTGTTTGCTTTGTAGCTTTGCTTGGAAGAGGAGGACGTTTGGAGGGCGGTCCTGAATTGGGCCAAATACCAGGCGGGGGTTACGCAACCAACAGCGCATTGGACTGAAGAGGAAAGGGCGCGCGTCTGCCAGCATCTGGCTACGGTCATCAATCACGTCAGATTACTTCTCATAGGTGGGTGGTGACAATTGGTTTCGAATTAATTGTTAATCGTTGATTGGTTCAGACAGCCAAGTGTTCGCTGAAGAGGTGGAGCCTACGGGGGCGGTTCCAATGGAGCTCAGTTTGGAGCGGTATCGACACGCGGCGCTGCCGAGCAAGTTTTCGGAGGGTGCCGAAGACCAAAGACTGAAGCCTCGCGTATCTCCGCATCTGTTTCCCGGCTCTTTGATCTTGGGACAGGACAAGAGCCACTTCCAGAGATTGCTCAACGCTTGGTTTTGTAATACTAAACAGGCTTGGCGGTTGGTTTACAGGGCTAGCACGCACGGATTCTCCGCGACGGCTTTCCACAGGCACTGCGATGGAATCTCCCCGACCTACGTTATCCTACTAGTATGAATTGCATCATAGTTTCTTTTTGTAGTAAATTCCATTACAAGTTTTGATTGATTTTCAGGGCGCAAGGGGCGAAATCTGCGGCGGATTCAGCGACGCCCCATGGGGAAAACCTCCGGGTAAAAGTCATTACGTGGCTTCAGAGAAAGCCTTCCTCTTCACCCTGTACAATCACCAAGACGTGCCACCCACCCAATTCCACATCAAGAAGAAACCGTTCGCCATCTGTTATCATCCCGAGTTAGTAGTAGCAAAATCTCAATTTGTACTCAGAAACTAATTTGAATTAATTGCTTTTAGTTCTGGTCCGATCTTTGGAGCAGGAGCCGATCTTCTCATCTCAAGCAATTGCAACAACAACGTGGACAGTTACTCCAACATGCCGCACACTTACGACGGCGAAGGCGCTTCTCCTGCAGTTCTTATGGGAGACTACAACTTTACCGTCGTTGATTACGAAGTCTTCACTCCGCTCAACACGGGCAACGTTAGGAACCACAAAAACGAACGATATTCCTGAGCTTTCCCGCATATATAATATATATACAATACATAAATAGTAACAAATTCCTTATATATTATACAAATAAAATGATATACCCTGGAAATGGTTACAACTTTTGTTTATAGGGTATACAATACTATACATCTATTACTTATATGTTTTCACTAAAAGTCACAAGACCCGTCCAGCCAACCGTCCCTCCACCGCTCGTTGACCTTTGAACAATCAAACTTCGGTTTACCTATCTTAACATTAACTTTATTGTGCAGTTCGCACAACCATTTACTTAAATTCTCCTGGTTTTCAACGTTCGGCGGACACTCGCTCAAACTGCAACAAATTTCAATTAATATCGTTCAAAATGATCTTTTCAAATGATACTCACTCTTTCCGCAGGTCAGCGGCGCAATGCTCGCACGGATAAAACTTAGAAAAGATGTTAAAAAACGTCCTCATGTCATCCTTCTGCTCGCACGTAGGAGTTTTTGGGAATTTCGCAGCCATCGTGTGCAGCAAACCCCACGACTTGTTCCCCAATTCGTCTTTATCCAGTGGGCAATCGGGTCGCCTCACTGGCGCCTCTTCGGGCATCTAAAATCCAAGGGAATTAATTAACTCATTACATAAACTTAGTTATGATCCGGATAAACTTACACACATCTCTTCGTTGGGATTACTTTCCTGCTGGTACTTCTTTTTACTCTGCTTCATGTAATCCGCGAAACTCGTACACTGCCTGCACTGCTCATTATCCAAGTGACTGACCCTCGGCGACATTATCTCATAACATCTTTTAATTCAAATCCAAAGCATCCAAGGGAAATTGCACAAGAACCATAACCTAAACGTCAATGTGACAAATAGTTCCAGAAAACGCGAAACGTAAATATTACTTAACAAACTTAAAAAAACAAGTCTAAAGCTACCTTTAAATTAATCAAACTATCTTAAATCATACATTTACTCGTATAGTTTAAAGGAAAACAAGGATATTATTTTTCTAATAAGTTCTTCAAAGTTGGTAACTCGAAAGTTGTAAGAGTATATCCAGTTGCTGTTTCTTCAATAAAAATCGTTTTTCGAGCCATATACGAAGCAAAAGATGCCTGCGATTATTAAAATGTAAGTTATTACTATATTCTAAGTTTAATTAAAGTTTATGCAAAGCGTGAAAGTTAGTTTTCGCAAAAATTAGATTTATAACCTTTTTTTCTTAATTTCGCGGTTTTCAATTGCTGCCAATGTTAGGACGAAAAGTTTGCTTTTGCTATTGTCAAAACCGATGTGTTAACCTCTAAACGAAAACAACACAAATGTAAGTCGCGTTCAGTGCGTAGTGGTTTTCATATCAGTAAGAATGGGACCACCGAAAAGATACAGCTCTTCCAAAGAAGGTAAATCGTCTAAGAAACGTAGGAAAGAGGAGGAAGAAGTGTGGAATTATGAAGAGGATGATACGAATGATTCACCTGAGGGAGGATCTAGTGTGCCCGGAGCTGCAGCAAGAAATGCAGAGAACAATGATCAAGGAGTGCAGGAGGACGAATTTGGAGCAAAGGACTACAGGTCTCAGATGCTGTTGAAGCCTGATAATCACTCGAGACCTTTATGGGTTGCCCCCAATGGGCATATATTCTTAGAATCCTTCAGTCCTGTATATAAACATGCCCACGATTTCCTCATCGCCATATCGGAACCAGTGTGTCGACCAGAGTTCATACACGAATACAAACTAACAGCATACTCCTTGTATGCCGCTGTCAGTGTAGGTTTGCAGACGCATGACATAGTGGAGTATTTGAAGAGATTGAGTAAAACCAGTGTGCCTGATGGTATAGTCCAATTCATAGAGTTATGTACTTTATCCTACGGTAAAGTGAAATTAGTCTTGAAGCACAACAAGTATTTTGTGGAGAGTCCACATCCTGATATATTGCAGAAACTGTTGAAGGATCCGGTTATACAGGAGTGCAGATTGAGGAGGAATGCCGAGACTGAAGTGGAAGATTTGATAACTCAAGTCCAAGATAAAGCTGGAGTTCCAGCGTTCGGGGCTAAACCGGGGGCGTCTACAGAAGCGCCAGCCGAGCAAACGACAGTTCCCGATGATATCACAAATTTTTACGAGAAAATGGATAACGAAGAGGAGGATGAGGATGCCGTTGCCTTGAAAACCGTCTCGTTCGAGGTGAATCAGGAGAAAATTGAAGTAATCCAAAAGAGATGCATCGAATTGGAGCATCCGTTATTGGCAGAGTACGATTTCAGGAATGACAGTGTTAATCCGGATATCAATATCGATTTGAAACCGTCGGCCGTATTGAGACCTTACCAGGAGAAGAGTCTTAGGAAGATGTTTGGTAATGGGAGAGCTAGATCTGGAGTTATCGTCTTGCCTTGCGGAGCGGGTAAATCGCTGGTGGGAGTCACAGCTTGCTGCACTGTTCGAAAAAGAGCGTTGGTGCTGTGCAATTCCGGTGTTTCCGTGGAGCAATGGAAGCAGCAGTTCAAAATGTGGTCCACCGCCGACGACAGCATGATCTGCAGATTCACCTCCGAAGCTAAAGATAAACCGATGGGTTGCGGTATTTTGGTCACAACATACTCTATGATCACGCACACGCAGAGACGTTCTTGGGAGGCTGAACAGACCATGAAGTGGCTGCAGGAGCAGGAATGGGGAATCATGGTTCTGGATGAGGTACACACGATCCCTGCGAAGATGTTCAGGAGAGTTTTAACCATAGTCCAATCCCATTGCAAACTGGGTTTAACGGCGACGCTGTTGCGTGAGGACGACAAGATCGCCGATTTGAATTTCTTGATTGGTCCTAAACTGTACGAAGCGAATTGGTTGGAGCTGCAGAAGAGAGGGTTCATCGCTCGAGTGCAGTGCGCCGAGGTCTGGTGCCCGATGACACCGGAATTCTACAGGGAGTATTTGGTCTGCAAAACCAGCAAAAGGTTGCTTCTCTATGTGATGAATCCGCACAAGTTCAGAGCGACGCAGTACTTGATTAAATACCATGAGAGGAGAGGCGACAAGACCATCGTCTTCTCCGACAACGTATTCGCGCTGAAGCATTACGCGATCAAAATGAACAAACCGTACATTTACGGTCCTACATCGCAAGGCGAAAGGATTCAGATTCTGCAGAATTTCAAATTCAACCCGAAAGTGAACACGATTTTCGTGAGTAAAGTTGCAGACACTTCGTTCGATTTGCCGGAAGCGAACGTGCTCATCCAGATCTCTTCGCACGGTGGTTCCCGAAGGCAGGAAGCGCAGAGGTTGGGTCGTATTTTGAGAGCCAAAAAGGGGGCGATAGCCGAAGAGTACAACGCGTTCTTCTACACTCTGGTCTCGCAAGACACCATGGAGATGAACTACTCGAGGAAGAGGCAACGGTTCTTGGTGAACCAGGGATACAGTTACAAAGTGATCACGAAGCTGGCCGGTATGGAGGATGAGCCTGAGATGTTCTATAAGACGCGCGACGAGCAGGGACAACTCTTGCAACAGGTATATTAATTTAAGGCAATTTGTTGAAAGAGATATTAAGGATTATTTATGTTTTCAGGTTTTGGCTGCTAGTGAAGTCGATTGCGAGGATGAGAGGATTCCGGGCGAGGGTGGCCCTAGAGGTCCGGGAGGTCGCAGGGTCGGACACATGGGTTCCATGTCCGGCGCCGACGATGGCGTCTACTACGAATACAAGAAGTCTTCCGGCAACAAACATCCGCTATTCAAGAAGTTCCGATATTAAAAAACTTGTTGATAATTTAATCAAAATAAACCTGTTTGTTTAAATCGCTGTTCGATTGATATCCCGAATTGAAAACCCTATTAGATTGTGTGTTTCTTAATTTCAGGCCAAACTCTTTGGAGGATTACGCCATCGTCGAGCTGCAAGGCGACATTCAAGCGGATTGCGCGATGGACGGGAGATTCCTTGGGAATTTGTTCTTCGGCAACAACGGAATTCCGATGCTGATAATTGGTAATCATTTGATGTACGGAAAGGAGTCGAAGATGGAAAAGCCTTTGGCGATGCTCAGGAGGGTGAAATCGGATGAGACGGGAGCCGAGTATCACGTGAACGCCATCATCAGACAGAAGATCTTGTTCAAGACGAGACCGAAACCCATCGTCGGGACGCCCGGAAAAGGAAAATGATCAAGTAAACTTATTTTTGTTTTGTTTAAATCATTATACGTGTATAAAAAAAATCGCATTCGAACGGAAACAGTCTAATTAACAACATCTAAGAGATGTGATCAAACCTGCATTTCTGAGCCGGCTGGAATCGTTATACCACCGGTATCCACGGCCAACTCCTCCAAATTATCCGAACTGAACAATCCCGGTTGCGTCTCCTCATCCTCAACACTCGGCACCTAAAAGTACATCAAATCATTACAAACCGATTATCATTTGATCAATTGAAATTTACCACTTTCAATTCAGCCACAGTAGTTTCAATTGGTGCATCACTTGCTCCACTTGTCGTTTGCAGTTCTAAAAGTACAAAATTAGTTGAAATCTTAGATCTCTACATGATACTCACTACTGATGGGAACGTTAGCAAGCTCGTGTCCTCTGACGTGATCATTGTACATCTGCTCGTTGACAGTTTCGTAAGAACAAACCAGACATGCGAAGACTCCACCTTTGCCCGGATGTTTCCTTTTGATGTGCATCTTGTACGCAGTCGACTGCATGCATTGATAACTACAATGCGGACACGAATATTTCAGCACCCCGTAATGCCGGCCGACGTGTCTCCTCAGCGAATTGTGATCCCCAGTTTTGTAATCGCAGATCTGACATTTGTAAGGCTTTTCCCCAGTGTGCTGCCTGAGATGCAACTGCAACAATCGAATCGTAAACAAATTGTGTGTGTGTTTGCAATTAATTTAAACGAAAGTACCTCAAGCATTGCTTTTCTTGCGCAAGAATGACCACAGATGTTGCATATGAAAGGCTTGTACTTGTTGTGAACGGCCTGAACGTGCTTCTTGAGATTCTTAGAAGTTGAGAAAATGCGACCGCAAGTCGTGCAACTGACTTTGGCTATCCAATTAGCGTTCTGAAAATTTTACTTATTTTAGTTTAAATTAATTAATTAACTTAGAAATTATTAAAACAACCTCAATGGATTCCTTGTGCACCGCAACTTTGTGATTTCTGAGCTGCGCCAATTGCTTGAAACCGTGGCCGCAAGTCGAGCAAAGGAATGGTTTCTCCGTGTCGTGACTGGCCATATGCACCAATAAACTATCTAAATTAATAAATTTCATTACATAATTAGATTGTTTTAGTGGTGAATTTCTTACGGGGAGATTGTGATTTGAAGACGTTGCAGACGGCGCACGTGTAAAGTCCTATATCGACTTTATGGCACTTCCACAGATGAGCCCTGCACATCCTCCAAGCGAAGAAAATTTGGTCGCATTCCGGACACTTGAACTTCTTCTTGTTTTCGTCGACGTGACACGAGTGATGGCGCATCATCAACTCGAGTTTCGAAAAACGCGAATCACAACCTTTTATAAGACACCTAAGACGAATCATTACACAATTACAAGCAAAAACAGTATTAGAATACACTTACTTAACTCTCTTCCCTTCCAACTGCTGCTTATTCACGATACTTTGAAACAAACCATTGGTACTCTTTGGCTTCTCCTCTGCATTAGTCTTGGCCTCAAGTTCACCCTTATAAGTCAAATTGTGTTTCTGAAAATTCAACAAATCATGTAATAATTCATTTAAACACGATATTTCACTACTAACAGTTAACATGTGTTTCTTTAAATTATCAATACTTTCATATCCAACGCCCTCGCACATCCCGCACAGATAAATATCCTTGACCACAGCGTTCTTGTTGTCGGCTGTTTTGAGTATGGAACTCATCCTCTGCACTTTCGGCGGTATGATCTTCTGCACCTTCTCCAAGCAGACGCTCTTCACGTGCTCCACGATATCATCGTAACTTTCGAAGTACGCCGAGCAATGCTTGCATCTGTGCATCGAGACTACCTCGATCAGATCATCGACGCTCGATTTCAGCGCATCAGAGTTCACCTCCTCCTCACTCTTTGCCACATTGGTCTGAGTCACAACATCGGTTTTAATCTGATCGTTCTGCAGGTTCAGCTGCAGCAGCACATCACTGGATAAGAATAATCCGGAAGAAGTCAAGAAGCCTTTGGATATATCCAAAGGATATTCAGTTGTTTCCTCTGGATTTTCCACAGTTTTAGTCAGAACGTTTTCATCTGTTTCTTGATCTAAAATCATATTGAACGATCCATCAACATCATCAAGAGATTATTTACTTTAATTTACCTTCTGCCTCTGCTAACGTGTTCAAATAAACAGGAACTCCGTTTATGGTCCATGCTGAATTTCCATCCTCGAACTCAGTGAGCATAGGCTCATCAGTCAACGAGTCAACCTCCTGTATTTCCAACCCATTATTTTGAAGCAGATAACTCGTGTTCTTTTCATTTAGAAAATTTAGATAAGAAATATCCTCTGGTATTGTAACGTCCATAACCTACAAAGACGATTACTTTAGGCTTTAACTGCCGCAATTCCAAATACAACTTATAAAATAAACATCCAATTCGCTTACCAATCACTTCTTCATCGGTTGTGTAACTCTCTAATCGACTTTTTGCAGCTAAATAAATCTAAGTAATAACAAACAAACGCTTACAAACACTTAATGACATTTAATGGAAGATAATTTGGTTGCCTACATAATTTAATTGCAAATTATACTGGTACATTTAATAACAAATTATATTAAATTAATAATAATACATTTTAACGATATTAGCTTATTTTCCAGTCGAATGATTCTGTTTGGCAATTTCAGGACAAAATTGCGAATTATACTTTTGTTTAACTGCTGATTTCGGAATCGTCTCTACCTCAACCGGAACTTTATCACCTCGTAATTTCGCCAATAAACTCTCAGATTTTCTTCGCTCCTCCGCCTCTCGCTTCAAACGTTGCGATCGCAACTCTTCTAATTTCCTCTTCTTCTCAATCTCATCTTCGGAAGTGTACTCGCGGGAACTCGATCTCTCGCGTTTCCTTTTTTTGCTTTTCTTCTTCGATTTTTCCTTCTTGTGCTTCTTCTTATGCTTCTTGCGTTTCTTCACTTTCTCCTCCTCATCAGATTCACTCCTTTCTCTCTTCCTGCTAACCACTGGTGGTGGTCTTTGCTGCATTAAAGATTTCAGAAAGCCAGGATCTAAACCATCTTTAGGTTCAACTGGTTTACTGATTGGTAAACTCAATAACTTCTTCATTTTCTCCAAGGGATCATAGAGTTGTTTATGTTTCAAATTAACTTCTGCTTCATTTGCGTCAATTGACTTGCGGTTTGGTAGCTCATTGTACCAGCTCGTTTTACCTAAAGCCTCATTTGTGTCCTGCCCCAAATATGTCAAGTAGCCGATCTGCTTCTCGTATTTCTCCTGCTCTTCCTTCTTTTCCTTCTCATGCTCCTTGTTAACAGCTTTATACTCGGCTGTCCCTTCCTCCAAATCTTGGAAGAAATTGACATGTCCACTTGGTGCTGCTGCTGTTTCAGCACCATCGGTTTGGGTAGTAGGAGCTGCGGGGATAGTTGTGTCATTTAGGTCTAAGGGGATGAAACTTGCAGCTGGTAGATTAGCTCTAGCTTTAGCCCTGAGAAGTTGTGTCCTTGCTTCACGTTCCTATTAGAAAGAAAGTAACATTAAAACTATAGAAGAAACAAGACTTTTTGTAAACTTACAGCTAACTTTATCCGATCTTGTTTTTCTTTTTCTTCCTCTGCTGCTTTAGCCTCGTCCCTTCGGACCCTAGCGATGTTGTCTTTAGTTCGCACATGCCACCTACAAAAAACATTTAATTAATCCAATTCCATATAAATAATAAATAATCTATACTTGCCTTTTCTTTGGTAAAATATTCATTTTGTTAGGTTAGGTGACAACAACTTCAAGTGAAGTGAACTAAAATTGTTTACATTTTTTTTCTATTTTTCCTCATCTTTTATATAATTAAAGTCCTCTTTATTTCTGCGACCCTCTATTTCCTATTGACTACTTTAATTGTAGGATTAGTAAAAGATTTAAAATAATCTTGAGATTCATTTGAACTACTGCAACTAACTTCACTACAGTTTTCACACGTGTTTGAATTATTTTGAAGTTTCGGCTCGAGCGTGCGTTTGAATATACTGATCTAGTATAAACATTTAGTGATTAAGTGATAATAAACGACGAGATGTCCGAGTGCAAGCTGCACAGCGTCAGGTTTTACAAGCCTAAACCTATGGCAATTTACTGCATGGCATACAACAAGTGTTCGAAGAAATTGGCCGTCTCAAGGTAAACATAACCTAACTATAAATGTATGTATGTTTGTTATTAACAGTTATTTGCAGATCGGACGCTTCCATAGAGATTTGGAATTTAAAGAATACCCCGTTCATTGAAAAGACTATTGCTAGTAACTCCAGGAATTACAGTATCGAGGGATTGGCATGGTCTGGTGATCGTTTGTTCAGTGTGGGTCTGCATGCCTTGCTGATTGAGTATGACTTGAAGAAGTTAGCAGTTAAGAATTTCACGAGTGTCACTGGACAGACGGCTTTCTGCTTGGATGTGAACAAAAGTCAAACGAATATAGCTGTTGGCACTGAGCAAGGGTACATCAATATTTTCACTATTAACGATGATGGTGTGGCGTTTGAAAAGTTCTTGGATAAGCAGGAGGGAAGGATACTTTGTTTGAAGTACGATGCAACTGGGAATTTCCTTGTGACTGGTGGATTGGATGCGATCAGGATTTGGAATGTGAAGACAGGAAACGCTATACATCGGATGACCACGGGTCGTACGAAAAGGAAGCAGGAGACTATCGTTTGGTGTCTGGCGGTGACGTCCGATTTCACTATTATAACTGGAGATTCCAGAGGGAAGATTTCCTTTTGGGACGGTAATTTGGGGGTGGCCATTTCCAATTACACATCGCATCAGGCGGACGTGCTGAGCCTTTGTTTGAGCGAGGATGAGAAAACCGTTTATTGCTCGGGGATTGATTCGTGGATATTCTCTTTCGTTAATGTTAACGTTAAGGATGGTATGCAGAAGTGGGTGAAGTGCTCGAAGAGGGTCGTGCATGATCACGATGTGAGGGCTCTTTGTATGGGTGACGGTAACTTCTTGTATTCTGGAGGTGTTGATGGATACGTGGGTCGTTCCTGTCATCCGCCTATGACGGTTGTCAAGTACCCACCTATTTATCAGAGACCCAACGTCGTCGTTGCATCTAAAACGAAGTACATATTACTCAAGTACCCTGATTATTTGGAGGTTTGGAGCTTGGGGAATGGAGACGAAAGATACGAGAGCAACGAAAGCAAGAACACGTTTAAATTGAGCAAGGAGAACAAGAGGTTATTAGTGCTGCAAAGGCAGGTGAATAATGATTTGGGCAAGAACAGGAACGAGGGTATCATAACAGCTGCGATTTCGCCGAACGCCAAATGGATAGTTTTCAGCACGACGTCCGCACTGAGATTATTCAAATTCGTATGCGTAAGTCTTATTAACAATTCATTAATTCAATAATAAAAATATTTAATTTACACCGCAGGATGAAGAGGAGGAAAATGTCGAATTAATCCCCTGCGATAATTTACCGCAAGAGTGCGGGGTCAGTTTGAATGCAGTCTTTACAACGGACAGCAATCAGTTGATTCTGTCCAACGAGGAGGGAACTGTGCAGGTGCTGAATTTGAAGCGCGAACCGATGCTGGTCCAAACCATCGAAACCGATTCATGTAATTAAATTAGTTCATCAATTTTCAACTGATTCTAGTTTTAATTTTTCGTTTTTGCAGTCTTCAAAGATGCGATTACGATAATGGAGTGCTGCGGGAAATATTTGCTGGCCGCGGATACGCGGAGCAACATCGCTGTTTGGGTGCAGACGGATAAAAGTTGGCGATTACATTGCAAGTTGCCCAAGTATAAATGCGCTCCGACCGCCATCCGAATCCAACCGGCTACATCCAACATAGTCATAGCATATTCGGATCAAAAGGTTCTTAAACACTTGATATTCGATGTTTGTTTAGCTAACGTCCGTTGATTGCAGATTTTGGAATACAGTTTGGAATTGAAGAAGACGACGAAGGTTATCAAGGATTTGGAAGGAAAGTGCGATAAAACTCTGAACAAGCATTTGAGCATCAGGAATATCGCGTTCGATCCCAACAACAGCAACGTCATCGTGCTGCACGATGATAGCTGCATGTACGTGATCAACAAAGATCCGGTAAGTCTTGCATTTTTCATATAAATATATATTCTTATATATAAAATTATTATGCAATACCAGTTTTAAGTAAATTTTACTAGAAATTGAAATTTGAATATTGGTGCAACTGAACATTAGAATCTTAGATACAAAATAGTGATAAAATGGAATGGAAACCGTTCTTGTGTGCATGAAACACGTCTCTTTCAGCAGTTGTTGCATTGTGAATGTCGCCTGTTATCCGTCGCCATGCATTGAACATTAGATTTGCATTTGGGGTGGGATTAATAATGATGCACGGCTGGCTGTGTGTGCGTTCGCGAGTGGGTGGATTTTCAGAGTGAACGAATAATAGCGTGAATAGTTTACAAGTGCTTAACTAGACACCGCAAAGTAAGGGTGGGTGGATATTGTTTCGGCGGGGACTTTGTTCTCTCTTTCAGGAACTATCCCGAGTGTGAAAATTGCATTGTTTGCTGACAGTTACAAGATTTAACTTAATTAATCATGCCGCGCACGGTTTCTCTCTCTTTCCACCAACAACCCCCCTATCTCTATATTTCCCCCCTCCTGTTTGATGCTATACGTATACACATACACTCACTCAGCACTTCTTCCTCTTCGGCTTCTTAAACGGCAATGTTGTAGTGAATAGGGGGGATGAGGAGCAGGCTAAACGCCCGCGCGCATAATGAACACACTGTGTGTACTTTCCCCCCACGGTTTTGTTTGTTTGTTTTACCTGCACCCTCTCTCTCTCTCTCTTTCTATTTACTTCCCCCTCGAGTTGCAAGCTTGCACAAAAGCATTTAATTTCCCCCAATTTAATCTCGTCGCCGGGAAGGGCCCAATACAAAACGGATTTCCTGGAGGCGCCGGGCATCGATCCCGGTACCTCTCGCATGCTAAGCGAGCGCTCTACCATCTGAGCTACGCCCCCTGTGTTGTTTGTACTTAAGTCATTTCGGCGGACCGCCCAGTTTTTTTTAAGTACAATCTCATTGTTATTCAACACAAGGTGTGGTCGTACCAAGAAAGGTAAATTGGAGTGAATTTATCCACAAATACCAACAACAAAGGGGGCGTAGCTCAGATGGTAGAGCGCTCGCTTAGCATGCGAGAGGTACCGGGATCGATGCCCGGCGCCTCCATCCCTTGTTTTACCCCTAATTGATACAACCTGTAGTTAATACGAAGTGATTTGCTACTTAGTTTATAAAATTTATAGTCAGCGGTCGGGGAACTTTTTTTAACTATTACCCCAAAATATTACAATCAAAACAATCAATGTAAATTTTAAATAAACATTATTTATTGAATTAATTTGCATTTACATATTTATAAAAAAAAGTTACATAAAAATAGTAACAACTAGTAATGGACAAACAAAATAAAATTCTTAAATTGCAACAAACAAAAATTA